TGTCGCTGCCCGCCTCACGTGCGCCAGCTCCTTGGCGAGGAGAAGTTTGGCCCGGGGCTGGCCAGCGTTGCCGTTAAAACGCGTCGCCTCCTTCTTTTCCTGCTTTTCCTCGGCTCCCGTCGGCGATACGAGCGCGGTGCCCCTAAAAATACCGAGGCGCATCCCGTTTAACCTCCCGCGGCCTCCCCGCGTCGCTCCTCTTTCCCGTGGGCTCGCTCGCTGTTCCCGGAATATCCTTGGAAACGTGAAGCGAGGGTGGATTTCCCACCCCGTTGTGTTTTTGTTTTGGGGGTATCTTGTCTAGTTTCTGCATTTTGGGGCTCGCTGTTTTGCTTGGCCGACTTGTGCTTGGAGAGGCGCATCCCGTTTAACCTCCCGCGGCCTCCCCGCGTCGCTCCTCTTTCCCGTGGGCTCGCTCGCTGTTCCCGGAATATCCTTGGAAACGTGAAGCGAGGGTGGATTTCCCACCCCGTTGTGTTTTTGTTTTGGGGGTATCTTGTCTAGTTTCTGCATTTTGGGGCTCGCTGTTTTGCTTGGCCGACTTGTGCTTGGACTGTTAAGACGGGAACAGTCGGAAACGGGTGGAAACAGGTGTTTATGGAGCGTTCCTTTGCGGCTTGCCAAAGTCCAAGGCTGTTTGTGACACTTGGGAGAGGATTTGGGGAGCGCTGGGGGGGCGAAGGAGGTCGGTAACGTTGTGCAAGGGGTAGAAGGGGTCCCTGTTGCACAGGAAAAATGGCCCTTTTTAGGTACAGACAAGCAGAGCGTTGGATGCTACAACCTGAATTTTTTGGTAAGCTCTAGCAGCCGTCGCGGCGGCGACCTGCGAGTGGAAAAGTTAATGTTTTCACCAGCCTAAACAAGGTGGAATTATCTTCTCTGTCACTCGAAGGCTTTGCATGCAGTTGTTTGAGCTGGAGACGGCTTTGTAGGAAGGCAAGATAATATTCCAAAGTGTCATTCCCGCCTGCACTGCATCTTTTGTGCAGTTTGGGGTGGTTTTGTGCTATGTATCCTGCAAAATGTTGATTCTTCCCTCCTCGACTCGCACTTTGCAAGGCCCTGGATGGGGACAGAGCAGATCTGGAGCTTCTGCCCTGATACCTTCGTGCGTAGGAGGGGGAAGAGAAGCGACAGGTTGGGAGTCGTCTCGTTTTAAGCAGTCTGTGCTCACGGATTTGGGCTCCTGGGATCGATCTGGAGACACCGGCCGTTGCTGATGGTGTTGGGAGGTTCTGGTACCGAACGTGGAAAACGGACCCTCATCATGGGGTAGATCTGCTATGGGCCCAAGTGCCCTGGTGTAAAACCAGGTCTTCCCTGTGCTCCCGACTCTTGTGTTTTGCCTGCGCTTGGTAACCACTGTTAAGTGGCCCGTTTCAAATGTCAGCAGTGAAGGGGGTAATTAAACTTTCTTCCAACATACCGTTGAGCTCGGATGTCTGTTACAAGTCGCTAGAGCGTTAGTTTTCTTCAGTTGCTCTGATTAGAGGGGGGAAAAAATCACGTAGAACTCGGTAAAATGTAGATTTCTGTCCATGCTGGTAGCTTGTCCTTTGGGTCTGGAGGAGCCTCCTCTGCTCCGCGCCCTCTCCGGGCCTCTGTCCTTGGTCCTTTCCTCCCTCCCCATCTTGGAGGGATCTCTCTGCGGATAAAATCCGGCTCCTGCCCCTATCCCAAGGGCTTGTGGATCCGCTTGGACTCCAGAGTTAATGTTTTTTGCCACATCAGCCTGTTTTTGAGGGATTTTAAGGCCCGGTCCTCATCTTCGACCTGAGCCTCGCTCCGGGTGCTGGGCATCATGCAGGACATAAATCTGGCATATTTATTTGTCCTGCTTGTCGGTAGAGCTAAAATCCCCCCCAGGCTCCTGCCACCTCTCAGTCGTGACATTTATCTCTCTGGTCCCCACGTAAATATTTCTGCTTCACTCGCATCCATCCAGGAGAGCTTCCAAAGCCTTTTTTCCAGCACTTTGCTTTAACATTGCCCCTTCCTTTGCTCTTCCATTCCTCCATTTGCCCATCCCGCATCCCCATTCCATTGGACACGACTCTTTGCCCGCTCAGGGCCCCTCGTGCTCTATTTCTGTGCCCTTCTTCACCATTGAAGTGGTGACTCCTGCCTTGGAGCAGTCTGTACCAGCCTGTACCTTGTATTTCTGTTTTTCCTCCCATTTTTTGTGTTCCAAGGATTTCCTTGCACCCCCAGTCTTATTCTGGAGGTTTTCTCCTCAACACCAACCAACCTCCTTTTCTTTCAGGTTCCTCCTCAAACTTTCTATTTGTGTCTATGGAAAAAGCCTTGGACAGTAGCTGTGATTCTAGGATGTTTATTTTGTTATTTCTAGTTTATGTGATTTTGTTTTTCTCTCTTTACCTCTTGTGGGCCACTTTATTCTCTGCCCCAAGCACCCTGTAGTCACTCCGCTTTCTCATTAGGAGCTCGTGCCCTGTTCATTAATAATAATTAATAATAATAATGAAAAATACAGCTTGCTTTTACTTCTTTTTCCCAGCTTTTCAACGTTTTTAACTCTAGAGAATCTGACAAGATGCAGCAGCTGCCATTTGCAGAGAGCTTCTTGCACAGGATAGATTTAGTAAGATAAGGAGGACTGAATCACAGTCGAGTCTGTGTGAGATTCAGATGAAAGTGCATGTGTTTAATTAATTAATTAATGTGTTTCCGTTCAACGAAGAAGTGTGAGAAAGTTAAACAGGGCAATTTCTGTTGGCGTTGAAATTCCGTGCTCAAGTGGCCTCCCCATTGCAGGGTTTGCTCAAAACGTTCAACTTCAACCTGACCCTGATCATTTATCTATGCGAGGGCCAAGAGTTTTCTGAAATTAATGTTTTCTTAGGGTTCAGGTTTAAGTTGCAATAAAAAAGTTGCTGTTATGAATCACTGTTATAAAGAGCTTTCTTGCAGGAGGATCATTCGTTTGCTGTGTTCAAAGAGCTTTGTAGAATACATGTTAAAGTTAAGCGTGCAGCAAACCACGTTTTTCTCCTTGAAATGTGTTGGTCCAAGTAGAAAATCATGAAGTTGTGGAGATGGAGCTGAACAAAACTTGGGAAAAAAGTGAAATCCCCTGGTTTGACCCAGGTGGGGGGTGATGAGGACAACCCCCGGCTCCGTGTCCGTGTTTCCTCTCCAGTTGAGCTGGGATGGTCGTTAGAGTAGGGAAATGGGGTTAATTACGGAGCTGGTGATCCATTGATTTATCCCGCGTTGCCTCCCGACGCGGCCGGTTGTGTAACGGGGTTGTAGAACGCGCCGTGGACACCAACGTGTCCCCAGGACGTGCTCCGAGTCGTTCCCGGCGGAAAACACGGAAGGATCCGTCCAGAGCCCGGTCCATGCGCCCCGGGACGTGCTCCGAGTTGTTGC